AAAACATCGACAAGGCCATTTTCATATTTTACAGACGCAATTGGAACGCCTTTCAATGTGGAGACTCTTGCAATTGTGATAAGGCCAGTTTCTCCTTTAAAGGGCGTTTCTTTCAAACAATACATCCACGGCACATGAATAGTAGCTTTCAATTTCCTGAAACTGACTTCGAAAATCGAAATTTACTGCTACTGTTTACTGCTGTAACGCGCTATATTTGGCACGTACTCAGCGGCCAGTGTCAATCAAGAATTTTTGTGGGTTCAATTGAGCATGGTTTATGTGAAAATAAATCTCGTACAGGTCATGTCACTTTGGCTTGGCGACAAAAATGTTAATGATCGTGATATATTTTCAATCAAGACGCTGTTCGGTAATCATATTATTTATATTATCACAATCTCTTGACTAAAAGCAATTTTTTAATGAACCTAGTTTACTTTGTAGACCAATAATTCTTGATACTGGTCATTATTTTGAGACAATTTTATTTCGCATTTGACCCGTCTGAACCTAAGGAGGTCCGTTAAGGAGTATACCACTAGATGCCATAAAGAAACAAATAAAGGACATGAAAATTATGCCTTTTTGCTTTTGATTTAAAAATTACGAACGTGATTATTTAACGAGAACAGTTATCGCGCTTTCGTTAATCACAGTTCCTTACTTACTTGAGTAGAAAAAATAAACATTAATTAAGTCGGGTCACGAGGTATTCAATATGAAAGGAAGTTTCCTTATGTTCTTTTAGATAAACAGATCTCACGTTGCTCTGAGGTGACTGTTGAACGATCTGAATACCAAATTTACATCATCATTCTTATTTTTGTAAATTTAGGAAAAAAAGGAAAGAAAGCCCATTTAACTGGTGCGGGTTTTTAAAGTGGGAACTGGTTTCTTTCTCTCGTTTGTAGTGACGTAACAGAGCTGTCAAAACATTTAGTCTGGTCATCCACGATTTGCAATCGTGAAAGTATGGTAGTCATGTTATGCTGCCGGGTCGATATAGTTAAAGAGTCGATTGAAATCTCAAAAGACGCCTTTCATAGTCAAGTGTTTTGCGGTTAATAGACATAATGAGACCCTCTTTCAAGATATCTCAAAAACAATTCTTTAGGAAACAAGAGTGACAGCCACAGGGGGCATAGGGGCCCATTAGAAACCGCAAAACCGTAGAAAAAAATCATTCAAAACCGAAAAACCAAAAAAAACATTCGATCAAAACCGAAAACCGCATGCAAAACTGTCAAAACTGATACATTTTCACATCCCAGTTATTAAAACCCTGTGTAAATGCGTGACTTTTAAACTTGCATGACATTTGTGTTACAGTTGGCCTTTGTGCCATTTGATTCCTTCAGATAGTCTTTCTCTCCCGCTTTCATTAATCGCCTGTTCATGTTCGGTGTTCATCCAAAGTTAATTTATAAAGTTTGATTTCAAGCCACCGGCGTATAGGGACTGATATGTAAGTTGTTTTCGCTTGTTTTGTTGTTTATCTCGTTTCGAGCAAGCTCTTTCGTCTTTATTTGTATATATATTTTGTGTTTGCCGTAGCTCTTTCATTTATTGGTTCATTTATTAGTTCCTTTATTATGTTAGATTCATTTACGCTGTTAAGTCGCCACGTGTTTAATTGAATACAATCTATTATATAAGTCCCTTTTTTAATTCGCTTACAGTTTACGAGATTGATTAAAGCTATGTCTCTGTAACATATCCCCTGGTTTGGTTGGCATTTTCTCCGGTCGCGATTTTCTTGGCACTTTATCGAGCCTTGACTCGACAAATGACTCCCAATGAAAGGATCCAAACAGGCTACAGTGTTTTATTGTGTTAGTACATGAAAATACAAAGATGTGCTACAGGAACCAAATTCTAGCGCTTTAGATACGACGCTTGTGTGGAACTTGTAACAAAATTGAAGTAAAAGAATAATAAAAGGCTCGAAATCCTCTGGAAGACTTTTTGTTTTTTTTAAATTCTAATCTTTTAACATAGAAGTTTCAAACTTCAAAGTTAAAAAAGCAAAATATTCTAGGTAAAATTTTAGCTTTAAGTTCCACCTGAAGACAGCTGAAGGCTGAAACGTTTTAACTAAGTTACTGAAAGTCGTGAATATGAAAGCGATCTTCGCAGTAATAAACACTACTTGAGCAGTAGTGGAAATAAGGCCTGAAAAAAAATTCATGCTTGTACGGGAGTTATGTATTTGAGCAATACTGAAAATCGGTATCGCAGTCATATATTTGAACCGAAGTTCAAATGTATGACTTTCAGAAATGAATGAATATTTTTCAGGCCTTATTTTCATCACTGCTAAAGTAGTGTTTATTGCTGATAAGATCGCTTTCATATTCACGTTTTCATCCGCAATACTAAGATATGGCTTTTATATGCTCAAGTATTGAGCACTTGCGGGGTGTGGCCATCATGACGCACGTGATCATATGGTATTTTAAAGCTATGGCATGCGCACTGAGGCGACATTTGTAGTGACGATGAAGTATAAAATAACCGCAGCAGCCATGAACCTGGTAAAGTGTTTCATAATCTTATGTGTTTTTCGTTCTAAGGCCCTATTGCTATGGTCTTGGGTACCTGCGGCAACTCTTTCCCCTCCAGACAAATTTACGAAGCGTTTACATGGAGTAGTGAGTTGCAACAGCTGTCCCCTTTTATACGAGAAAAAGTTGTCCCACCTGACCCTCCTGCCGAGTTGTCTTCCCCCCCCCCTCGAGGCGAATTCATCATTTTTGTGTGAACGGTTGGTTGAATTTTTCAAACAAATAAGTAAAGAGTTAGTTTAACTCGGGGGGGGGGGGGGAAGGGTTGTCTCGGATACTCGAGACCACTACCATGCAGTATGGTAGCTGTGAATGATAGTTAACCTGATGACTTGTTGTAACACCCCTGTGGTGCATATTTGTGCCTTTTAACTGATCCTTACCATAGATATGTAAGTGATACGCCCTGACAGGAGCACGTGATCATAAATATGTTTTTACATGAGATTATAGACAGTTTATATTCTCTTGGTTTTTATCATTAGCCTGATGATTTTATTTCTTTTCGTAAACTAGTATTGGCAAAAGTTAATTATCCCAAAAGCCGATATGCCACATACTCACTGAGTTTAAATTCCCGTGCAGTTTTGCCATTTGTCATAATTCTGTCCGAACAACCACGCCGATGCTTACGACGAGACGTAAAAGCATTTCTCATGTCGACGACTACGCAACGACCACTCTTTATATTTTAGTGCGACCTGCTGTTGACCCGACCATGGCGTGGTTTTAGTACAGGATTCCTTGTTAGTGCAGTGAAGTTTAGATCAGCGAGACTGTCAGACCTATGAATAACTAAGAAGCACATTAGACACGCTAAGACACAGACTTCCACTGTTTCAGAGCACGCCCAAAACGGCGGACACCTCCTGCTTTGGAACAAAGTACAGTTTTCTGATCGTAAAAGAGGTGATCCATTTTAGAGTACACTCAACAACATTAAGAGTAAAGGGTGGGATATTGATTTTAGAAGTTAAAAAAGAGAAAACAAACACACATGTATTATGTAATCATGCGACACAGATAGGGGACATTTCTTCGAGTGCCCCAATAACAAGTATAAAAAACAAGCCAATCACAGCTGTGCATGGTAGTTGATGTGACTTCATCGTGAGACAAATGGTTACTCTTTATTACAAGTACATTTACCTCAATGGATATTAAGCGTACACCTTTGTAAGATTTTCAACAACATGAACTGCTGTGGCAGAAATGTTTTCCAGTCTCACGGCGGCCGGCAATTGCCATCGCCTGCCTCCTAAGACACAGTTCGTGAAATATTGAACAATAAGGTTAAATTGACCATCAAATAATTGTACTGAGAAATCATCTGCATAGAATCAGAGAAGGGTTAAGACATGTACTGATTACATATTTCAAAGGAAACATAATTTCCTAACTCCCTTTTTAGTTCTGAAATATTTTTGCCCGCCCCTCCCTCAAAACAAACAGCCGGCCACAAAGACGAAGAAAACGCCTTGAAAAATAGATGAAAAACAGCTGAAAAACTGATACTATTCTCTAGCCTGTTCATTCGAAGCATGCTTCATGATAAGTACTTACCTCTTCTTTTTAAAGAGCTATGGAACTACACTCAATTGAATGAATCGGGATTTTACGACAACGTTCTGAACATTTGGCTGACGAAATCAGTTGAATGAATTTTTCTTTATCCAATTACGCGAATTGCCCACTTACACGCTCGAGCAAGTTGATGTGAATTTGTGCGCAAATACGGCTTCTTAATTGAGCTGATAAGCTTTTTAAATTACAGACAATGAGAGGATAGTTTTATTAAGTTTGTTAAACCTATTGTACCCAGGAAGGCGAGTCAAGGATTAGCGGTGTTGAACTTCCATTATTTCAGCGACTGATCTTCTACAAGCTTTGTATATCGTTCCTTATCATATTACAAAGTTGTAAAGAAGGTTAAGAATAAAAGAGAAAACCAAGACTAATTTCTTTATCCGATTAATCCGATCAGCTAAAGAATGTTTCACCCACGATGCACTCAAATTTGTGCAAAATGTTATGAAAATTTACAGCTGTTCAATTACCTTCACAGCCAAGAGAATGTATACAAGTCGCGCCAAGAGCATAATAAATTTTATCTATCAATATTTAAAACGGTAAAGATTCTGGAAAAAACACAAACAAAGTTAGCAAATTTAGGTTTTTGTGAGTCTTGTGGGGTCAATTCTAATGGGGAATGCTGGGATATGGCGTTGATGTCAGTACTCCGAGGAAATTAAAATTATAATAAGATGGATCTGGGTTGAAACACCAGAAGAACCGGGACTTCACCTTTACGAGTGAAGATGCTGTATCTTCGATTATTGAATGGTAATTACGAATTCTTCCATGAAATAGAAAATTTATTTGAAGGAGAGTAAAGGAATATTTCCATATATAGTATCAGTGACCACAGAAATTTATAATTTATCAAGAAAAGCGCAAAAAGATGCGAAGCATTTGCATGCATAGGCTATGGCATTTTCCTTGCAGAACACTTGCGTAACAAGCTCATGGCCCATAGATGCGCTATGTGTTATAATTTGACCTGAATGAATCAGGGGTCAGATTTGCAAATAATACAGTTTTGACAGCAGTATGAAGCAATAGAATCTGCCACTACTGTTTTCCAGTTATCCAATATTAAAATTTACTGTTCAACTCACTTTTTTCACTTATATAAATTCCTTTTTTAGACAGTAAACAATAGTTCACCGACGAAAAACACGACAATGTTACTTCAATGTTTGAATAAGTTCAGTGTTTTTAATCAAATAAATTCCATGTACCCCTATCCCCCCCAAAAGCGTCTCGGAATTCTTAAATCTTGTCTTAATAATTTGATTCCCTGAAAAGACGACATGTGCCAGAGGAACTGGCTGTTCGTCACTCAACAAAATAACCTCGGATGATGTAATTGTTTTGTCTGAATATTTCGTTGAAAAACAAAGACAATTGTCCTAATACTAATAATGTGATAGTGGCTTATAAACGGTCAAATCGCAACTTAGCCAGGCCTGATAATCTTTCTTTTGTCTTTCACAGTCTCCAAGGCTCCCTGCTTTCAAGTTCTGTTTTAAACTGGCCACCGAGGCAACTGAAACGGTAACGCCGAATGCTCACAATCCCACTGCAGGGAAGGCGAACGAAATGCAGGTACGCTTATAAACAGATGTTAGTGTTCCTCTCTGCAAAGAGAGCAGAAATGCGGTTACGTTCCTAAGAGTTAATTATTCAGTCGAAAGATTATAATTTCACCTTGCTGACAACAAGAGATACAGAGCAGTTTATTAAGAATAAAAAATGAGAGTGACTTTGTAGAAATTGACCTACAGTATGTCACTGTATTTGAGGGAGCCTGATTTCCACATCAAAATGGGTGCGGCCAGGAGCTCATCTCCTGGTGCGACTAAACAAACCCCTCCTAGAAATTGGAAACTGTGGTGATTTTGTTGCCTTCCAGAAAGATCTGATTTCTTTTCTTTCCTTTCTTTTCTTTATCACCTAACTGTTGAGGTTACTACAAGCATTTTAAGCGGGTCTGACTAAAAAAGTGAAACAACGCCTCTATCAGTAGAAGGATTATTTATCAGTAGGCAGCAAGCTAATTTCATTCAGACCGATTAGTAAATTAACTCTGTGTTTATTCGGTTTTACAAAGTCTAACAAATAACCACGCAACAAAGATAAAATATAATTCCCTCCTTTTTTTGCCGGGCTTTTTTTTTTCTTGCATGTTTCGGATCAGATCAGATTCACAGACCATGATATGTGTACGGCATTCGCCTTGTTTGGAAATAAAAAACTCACGATCTATGTAGTTGTCGAAAGATCAAGAGAATGAGTGATCTATGGCCCTAATTTCTCGATTATTTATGGACACAGCCTTGTATCCGCCCATTGAAATGAGGGGTGCGCCCGTTTACATGACAGAAATAATCCGATCTATTCTATGTGAGCACGTTCAATGCATTACCTCCGTTACTTGCGACTATGTGAGGTACCCCAAGCTTTTTTGATTTATAGCATTCAACAAATATTTGCAAAACGTGCCTGAGACATTTCCTTAAATTGTGAAATTCCTCCATAAATGTGTTAATGCTTTTGTAAATTGCGTGACTTGTGGAATTTGACAGGAAAATTCCTAAATATACACCGATCATCTGACATTTGAAGGAAGAGAGAAATATAATTTGTTTCACTGAAAAAAAGAAGCATTCTTAGGAAAGCCTTTTGTGGTACTGTTAACATCAAACGGCACAGGAATTGTCACACGTACAGAGGAAACAATATTGGTTACGTGACAGGTGGTAAAAGATGACGCGCGAGTGACGAAGAATGTAAACAAGCGATCGTGCTGCTGTTATCTTCAACCGTTGCTATGTCAGACTTTTACACTCTTTTCATTTTAATTCTCTCAAGAGTTCGCACGTGTAAGATAAGGTAGAATTCACTAAAAACATCAAGAAGAACTTAGAAAGTGTAATCTAACCTAAAATTTTTTTTCTTCGAGAGGGGATATGTCCGGGCAGAAACTGAATTCCAATTCATTGAGATCGTTCAGCTAAAATTAATTCCCTTCAGTTCATAGAATAGAACAAAATCTTATGCCAGGGAATCCATATGAGGCTTCAGTCGAAGTACAAGGAGGTACCGGAAAGGGTGATGTTTTCGTAGCAGAAGCCTCGAATGCACCGGAAATAGTTACCGGAAACAAGATGTGCACATTTTGCGTAAAAGTGAAAATCAAATTGGAAGTGTTTAATTTTTGAAGAGATATATTCTCTGGAAAGAGGAAAAAATCACCGGCTTTTGATCTTGTAGCGTAAGTTTGATACATTTGAAAACGTTGCACTTCAAGAAACGAAAATTAAAGAGTGTTTTGAGCTGAATCGTGACCTTCTGTGCGTGACCATCTGCGAAACCGGAAATGGGATTTCAATAAAGGGAGAATAGGTGTTGCCCAATTTGAAAATCGACGCTGAAGCTTAATCGCTAGATTTGCTCTGTCGACATCAGGTCACAACCACCTTCATTGAATTCATAGCACTGCAAAGATTTTTACTGAAGCTTCAACGGTTCAAACGAAATGGAACCAAGAAATGCGCAAATATGGAAGGTTAGTACTCTACTATTGACTACACCGTCCATTTTCCTGAAGCTGAAAATCTTACAGGGATAAAAAAAAAACTGGATTGTTCGATCAACGCACTCAGGGCAAAAAGTTACAGGCGTGCTTAGCTGTTTGCTAAATAAATACATCAATCAACAGGTCCGTCCCTTTAAAATTTCTTTTCACCAAAGAATTTCCCAAAAGTTTTAAAAAGCCGCGTATAATCAGTTGTAATGAAATGAAACCTGAAGTTGCCCTCGGCTTTCAAACATCCTTGTAAGGCCACATGTTTTGACGGGAACGACTTGAAACGTGATACTTCTGAAATCTGACAGCGGAGGTCATCGATACAATGCGATGGATGAGTACACGCCTTACCAACGGTCACGAGTTTATAATGAGGATGTTTGAAACTGCAGTATATTCATAAACTCGTGACAAAAGCAAGAGAAAGTTTACGAAGACACATTGAGGCGAAGTTAAGATACCAGAAAGTAAACTGGTTACATCAAAGCAATAGCTTAAGGTTTGTTACAATAATTTTTCTTCAGTTGAGGAGCTAAATAATTTTTGCCGTGCGTCCTTCCGCAACCATCACATGTTAAGTACTTCGTTGCGCAATTCCGTCTTTCGAAATCTCTTGGCGATATAAGCTGCCAGCAAATAGTGCTAAGCAAAAATTTACAGAAGATAGCATGAAAATTATATAAGCGGATTTGCACAAACTGTTCTGTCGATAAATTATGTCAATTTATATTTTTCTTGAGACAGGCATTATTGAAATCAAACGCAGACGGGCGTGAATTTTTTCTACGCACCTCAAGGGCCTTCAGGTGGTCCGATGGCAATTAAATTGTTTAATTAATTTCTTTCATATATCATTGTATCATTCCGAAGAAAGGTTTGTCGATTTGATTGCTTGATATATATGAAGTTTGTTTGTGCCGTTTGCTGAAGAACGTGTTTATTCGAAATTTTCACTGACATGAACTAGTTGACCGAGGGTAATAATTAGATTATAGGATCGATATTAGGTCCACAATAACTGGGGAACTGTGTGTCTGAAACAAGGTTAAGCTATGCATCAGATAAATATATTAATGAATTAAGTTTAAATCGTCATTTCATGAGCCCCGAGTTAACACGGGAGCACTGAAGCCTTCAATCAAAGGAAATGGAGTGGCGTGACATCAAAGGGCTTTGGAGATTCCGTGAAATGATTATTCTTAAGTGCCGATCTTCCTGTTGAAAGAAATGCGGTTTCGAGCTGCGATACCAAAGCGATGAAGAAATTTAGCTGACTAATTCAGCCGACTATAGAAGTGATCTTACTCCGCACGATTAGTTCTCCTTTTACGTCAGTCATGGAAGGATACGGGAATAAACACACAATGGGATCCGGTCTAAAGAACACATTAGTAACTAAAACATCAGATGTGGTCAAAATCTTACAATGCATCTAGATATTTATCAAAGTACGAACTGATTACAACAGCTGGCGTTTAGAGGGAAGAAAAAAAAGGGAAAGAAAGTGCAAAAAAGGGAGAAAAAGGAAAACTGGTGCCCGACGAACTCTGCACTATTCTGGATTTGTAGAAGGGGGGGGGGGGGGGGGGG